AGGGTGGTCATAATGTAATAGCTCTTCGGTGTATATATATATATATATATATATATATACATAATGCAAAAACAAGTTGGTAACCAATTTTTATTAAATTCTCTATGAGGAAAATTTGCAATGGGTTTGTCAAAAAAAGTAGCTTCAGGGAATAAATTTACAAAATGTAGAATTCCTTCACGAAGAACATTTTTTTAAAAAAGCAAAAAAGATTTGTATTATGTCAACTTTTCTTTTTCTACACGGAGAAAAAAATTCAGGTAAAATTTTTTTCAAAATTAAAGTTCTTATTACCACATATTTAGTAAGATTACAAAACTGAAAGCTAAAGTTAACTGAATAAATAGTTTTTAGGCCATGTTTTAATGTATCATGATAAAATTACCAAATTTTATCACATTTACTAAATTTTATCGCATATTATAAAACCATATTTTGTAGTTAATTTTACCAAACTAATTGCCAAAGTTCTTCGGTAAAAACTACCGAGAATTTTATTGTTCAAATAAAGTCAGAAACGCGGTATATTTTATCATATTCTGATAGTTCTGACCATACTTTTTTTCCTCATTCTATTCAATCTTCTTGTTAAAATTATAATGACACATAGTTGTACACATGACGCACATATATAAACATAGTTGCGATTTATTTGCAGAATATGGCGGAGGTAGCAATTCATGTGCAAGAAATTGCAACACTAGAACATGCTGCGATTTAGGAGATTCAACATGCCCATCTATCTACGATGCTATGGACAATGGTTATACAGAGGGTCAGTGTGTCCCTGGAGTTGTCAGCCAGAGTTGTTACTTCCGTTGTAATCCTGGTTATGTTCTAGAAGGGCAAACACGTATAACTTGTTTGCCAAATGGAGAGTGGAGCTCTAGCATTCCTTACTGCACCAGAAGGATTGGTAAAATAAATTTTTATTTTTCAATTTAAAACATTGTAACTAAATTATGAAAATGTTGCATAATTACTAATCACACATTCAGAATCGAAACTCACATTTTTGTCGGCACAGAAATGGTTAGTTTTGGCAATCATTTCGGAATCGTATCACCTGATTCCAGACGATATGAGAAATCTTAAATATTTGTTGAAACTGCTTCTTTTTTTGAGTGAACTTTTTAACTCTAAATATTTTTGATTAGCCTTCTGAAAAATTGCAAACGTTTCTTTGACTGATTCCGCTGGAAGATGACACAAGGATTAGTGCAGGTGCTTGACAAGCAGGGAAACCTGCTGTGCTATGAAAATTGCGGTATGAAGTAGAGGCACTCAGGATGCCGGTAATTTTTATCGTAAGGTCCATTTTTTCTAGAACATGTTACGGTACAAAAAACATGTTACATGTTTCTAGAACATGTTACGGTACATTTTAAATAGTCTTCATATTTTGTAAAGCTAAACGGTTATCATCAGTCTAATGTCAAACTGCGGTACATTTAGGATTAAAATATAAAAAATTCAAAAACATTTGTGTCATGGTCGAAAAGGAAATGCAATTAATTAAAATTATCCTCTCGTTGAAAGATTTTTTTAAAGATTTCGATATTTAAAAATGGCTAAAATTTTGGAAATTTAATTTATATTCTCCCGTGATAATTTCAAATATTCTAGCGGAGTGGTAAACACACAGAACAATGACGGAAAAATTTGTTCAACTTTGAACCAAAATATTGGTACCTTCAACTACAGCACAAATTTCTGGCAAACTTTATAGGATTTTAAATTGAACCATTTTTCATTTAAGTTGAACCCTACTATCTTATAATCAAGTACGATAAAATGTTTAAACTTCCCCCCATGTTGAAGATTATAGTTAATTTTAACAATATTATGGTTTGAAACCCTCCAAAACTTTAAACTGTATAGGAGTTGCTTATCATCACATTAATAAAAATAATAGCTGCCCAATGAAAGACAATTATCTAAGGTTTTTTTTTCTTATATTGTTTTATCTCGATATTCAACTATGTCATATTATTAGGATATCAACAAATTAATTTTTACTTTTCTTTCATATATTTTATTACATATATTCATATAAAATTTTCATTATAATCTCAAATGTTTAAGAAAATTTTTTGCAAATGTATTCATTTTCTTAAATTTCATTACATTGGGACATTAGCTGGGAATAATTTTTTAAATACTTTTTTTATCATTCTTAAAAAAGTATTGGACTGTTAGAATACTTTTTATTTCATTTTTATTGCAATCAAATAGATCTGCTTGAAAATGAGAATTCATTTTTCATAACTTTTTAAATTTATCAAAATATTTAAAAATTGTATTACAGACTGAAGAATTTACTTTCCTTTGTGAAAACTCTAAATGGTCACAATTGTATTCTTCGTTTTTATATATTTTTTACTGTAAAAAAGCTGTGCAAAATCTGCATTTCATGGCTATAAATATTTCTGAATAAAACAAAACAACTAGAAAAAGCACAAATAAAGGGAAAAAAATGGACATAAATATTAATGTTCATTTCTGTGCCTTTATTTGCGCTTTATAAGCGTTTTTTCTGTCCAAGCCACTAGAAATTTCGCATGTTTGCAGACTCCTGGTTATAAATAACATTTTCAAAAACAAATGATATTTTTTTTTCCATCTTCTTGCTTTTTTCAATCAAAATTAGGTGCGTTGTGTGATCCCTTTCTTCTGCCTAATGGAAATGTTGACTGCGACAATGAAGGAGGTCTGACTGTTTGCAGAGCCTCTTGTGCATATGGTTACATGCTTGTAGGTTCTTCTGTCATTACGTGTTCTTCATCTGGAGAATGGAGTGACCAGTTGCCTACTTGCCGGAGTAAGCAGAACATCATTTTATCTCCTTAGAAAATTTGATATTGTCTCATTTTTTCATAAATTTGTATCTTACTAAAAGTGGAGCTGCTCTATCTTGTTTACAGTACAGGTCATGTAAAATTTTTCATGGTGATTACAATTTTTCTACTCGTTGTTCGAAAATTAGCAATGCTCGAAATACCAAAAAACATGAATATGTCAGCAAAGTAAGGGTTTGTAGGTTCATAACCTATGTATGTTAATTAATAATATCTTTAGTTAACTAATAATACATTTTAAATGTAATGATTTAATACTAGTTATTAAGAGTGTTGATTATTATAAGGGAGAATTGATCAGTATTCATTGTAGATAAGATCATATCATTTCAATAAGAATTTAAATTTTTATTGAAAAAATTTTTGTTTATTTTGTTGTAATACTTTTCTATTATTATAATTTAATATTTTTAAGAGTTAGAAATTAGTTTTTAAGCGTAATAGATTTTAAATTAAATTAGTTAAATCTAAATTAATCTTTTTTGCTTTAATCATTATGTTTTACTCAAGTTAAAATTTCTTCAATTATTTCAACACTTGTAGAATATTCAAAAAACTGCTTATCAAAATAAATTAATAAATTAAATTATAAATAAATAAATAAATAAAATATATAATAAATTAATAAATAAAATTATAAATAAATTTTAATGAACTTTAAATAACTTTTTTAATTCGTATAGAAGGGCAGCACGGAAACTAAAATTATCTTTCATGCACTAGAATAATTGAGGGAGTAGAATACTATGGAGTGCAAAGTAAGCTAATCACACTTCGCTAACCCTAATTTTTCAATATTTTTAATTAATTAAACAATCTGCCAATAGATTTGCTTGTAAAAAAAGATGCATCAAAAGTTGATCACAGTTTGTTAACCCCTATTTTTCTATTATTTTTTTTCATTATTATTTATTGATTTTATGCTAATCTTGTAAAGAATGATCCAAACGTTTCAGAATCGAAGATTGGAACATGTCCCTCATTAAGTCCACCCCTTAACGGAGGGAATTCTGGATCATGCGCAAAGGCCACCAGTGGCCAAAACTGTTTATTTACATGTAAAGAAGGTTATACACTTATAGGACAATCCACATTATTTTGTCAAAAAAGTGGTAAATGGTCCGCTGCACCTCCTACTTGTATTGGTAAGCAAAATAAAATAACAACATGGTGGATGACATAACTCACTAATTATGCTAATAAATAATACGTCTGGAGGTGATATAATTCATGTTTTTATCATTTTTGACCTCTACTTTCTTTTTATTAATGTTACTATTGCTCTTGTAATTATATTTATTCTTTTTCAAGGGACTTAACATAAGTACAATTTTTATTTTATTAATCTTGCATATTACAGTTGTATTTAATTTTTGGACTGCATTCGAATTAACTTTTAATTTTTAATGTGATTTTGAATTTTTAACTTGTAATTCTAATTTGTACTAACTAAAGTTAACAATCTTACAAAACTAGTTTGAACGTTGGATCTGTATCATCTAAATCAACCTGTATATATTCTTTATTTTTTAGGTAATTTAATAATGTCATTCGATTAATTAAGAATCATAGATCAGTTAGTTTTCATCTTCTTTTTAAAATTAGACAAATTTTGCTCTCTTCTCTTTGTCTTTTCTGACATGACGTGAAGAAGAGAACAATAATGCCTTTTTACTTAAAAAATTAACAAGTTCCAAAAATATTATAATTGTATGATGCTGCCATCTATGAGAAAATTACTTAACCAGTTCTGTCAAGACAAAAAAAGGGTGAAAAGAACTTTATATTTATTTTAAATGAAATAAATACTGCTCTCTTGTCTCTTCTGAAGTAGGTCTACATCTATTGCCATCTATGTATACCAAACTTCAGACATTACGTAAAGGAGAGAACAATTATGCTACATTAGTGCAAAATTTAACAAGTTTCAAAAATATTATAATTTTATGTTGCTGCCATCTATAAGAAAATCACTACACTAATTCTATCAGGAAATAAAAGAAAAACTTTTTACTTACATAAGGTGTTAAAATAATTGATATAAGAATTTTCTGTTGTTTAAATAATACTCAAAACACCTTATGGAGAATAAATGAAAAGTATGTATCATTAATGTGCATTAATTAAGTAAATAATTTCTAAATGTAAAATGTGTATCATAGATTGTCACCGCAATTGGAAATGCATTGTTAACATTGAAAATTGTAAATAATTAGCCTATTTATAAGAAAAACGCTTAATATAATTCATATAATCCATAACTCTTATGATTATATTTATTTCTTAGTACTAAACTTTTATGAATAACATAAAGTATTACGAATAATATAGGAAGCAAAATAATGGAGTTTTATTCCGAGCAAAGTTCATATAATAAATATAACATTCAGGAAACAAATTTAAATAATAAATCTATATGTTTATCCTGTTTTGTTCTAAATTTTGAAATCGAGTGTTAGTATTAGTAAATTTCAAACATTATTTTTTAAATTACGTTTATTCTAAATGTAGGAGGGACAACAGAAGTGACGAATATTTGCCCCACACTGAATGCTCCAGATGGTGGACGATTAGTGGGCAGTTGTGTATCCGCTAATGCAGGAGATACTTGTCAGCTGGTGTGTATTAGTGGATATAGGCCATCAGACACAAGAATTTTAATATGCCAAACAGATGGAAGATGGTCAAACAATCTGCCACGATGCATTTGTAAGATTTTTTTTAATTATAGTTACGTAAACTTTCTTCCAATAACAAAACTATGGAATCAGAAATTTTTAGCAAGTAATCATTTATTCTTGAGGCAGGAAAAAAATTGTTAATGTGAGCAGGAATTTCGAAGTCATTATTTTTAATTTAATATAATAATTTGTATTAATCAACAATTTTTGCTGATAATATGTCCAAAAATTACACTGCTTCGCAATAATGGAAGATCTGTTTTTTTGCATTTTCTTAAAAATTTCTCTAGAAATACTCAGAGGATTATTTTATAACTTCAAAGTTGTTTAGTTCATGAGATTATTCAAACTTTGCAAAAAGATTTAAAGCTTTTAGATATTTAAGGGACCGATAATAAATAATGAAAGAAATCAAGTTTTTTGAACACCCTAAGCCAGTAAAACAAGCTATAAGTTTGCAGCTTGTATCGATTACTTTGGTTTTCGACGACGAAAACAATTCGACGTTGAATCATATTATCGAAACCTTGAACGATAATATGGTGTTAATTAGTTGCAACCTTGATAATGTGTAAATCATGTTTAAACATCGTGTTAATTAATCGATGTTGCAACGAATTTGAATGATATAATGTCTTCACGAGCTAATAGTATAGTTATTTTACTAATTTATTTTGCTTAAATTGATGAGTTTTAATCAAAATATTTCAATTTAATAAATTTAAACATGGTGTGAATTATAATAATCCATTTGCTTCATTATTTCATAGCAAGTGGATGTCCACCAGTTCAAGTGATACGTGGTATACTATCTGGATCCTGTAACGCTGCTACTACTGGTCAAACTTGTTCTGTAACATGTGAGTCTGGATATTCGTTGAGCGGAACATCCACACTGGTATGTCAGTCTAATGGAGAATGGTCTTCTGTCTACCCTAATTGCAATGGTATGTCCAAAGATTACTAGGAATGTTTCAAAGCAAAATCAGTTCTGCAGAGTAATTGTATTATAGAACACAGACATGCTTATTTTTAAATTAGTTTTTAATCTTTATTTTTAGTACAGTTTTCTCTTAGATTAATTGTTTGTAACCTGGATTAATTATTTGTTGATCGACTTTAAATAATTTTTGAAGATTTCTGAACATGAGATTGTGACATATCAGAAAGATTATTTTCATAGAATTCGAATTTACAAGATGCTCCCTAGTGACCATATAATGTTTCCTAGTGACCACAAGATGTTCCCTAGTGACTATATGATGTTCCCTAGTTCATATTTAAATACTTGAAAATGAAGTAAAGTAATTATGCACTTTTGTTGTCACAAAATTGCATATTGCTGAAAAAGTTCTAGGAACTTCTCTCCCATTAACCATTTACTGTTATTAGAATTAATAGCAGTAAAATGAAGATAAAAATAATACAAAACCAGTTTATTTGAGGATGAAGCTGAGCTTAAAGATTGTTCTTAAGGATAGCTATTACAAATTTAACAATTAAATTGTTTTTTGATGTTTAAAAGACTTCTTATTCTTAATCACTTGCACTGATGGCTAGAATTTTCAGATTCTCTTCAACAGTCGAAGGCGACTCACTGCTGCGAGGCGCTTGCTGCTTTATAGAAATTGGAGAAATCTTTTCTTTCATTTGTAATTTTGCGGTGATATGAACCATGAACGTCATTTTTATTTCTGTGATAGCTGCCTTTTGACGTCTACAGCACGTTGTTGGTTATTTTATGTCAAAATCAGCTAGACGTGCTTGGGCCGTCTTTCCATCGATAGCAGTTAATCCCTCTTCATGACCTTAATAATTATTTTAAGAGTCTAAATTTTTTTCCCCTCTCTTAAAAGCTAAATTGAGAAAGAATAATGATTTACTTAATTTTTTAGGACATCATCACCTCTGGTCCATCATTCTAGTTGGGGCTCTCCAGAGATCTCTTCTTGATGATGCAATGACTCTTCATTTTTGAACAAATAGAGGAAGTCATTTTCAACGTCTTTAAATCAAATAACGGCGATGAGGGTGTCAGTACTTTTCGATACTTTTACTTTTATCAAATACTTTTATCGGTACTTTTATCGCAAAATTCATTTTTCCCGGAACATGATACGGAAACAATAAATCTGATTTACAGCAATAATTATTGTGAAATCACTCTAATTAAATAAATATTACTGTAATACTTTGCGGTTAAATTGGATTTTACGGAAGAAGCACTCAAAGTGCCGGTGCTTTATTCCATAATTTGATTCATAATTATTACAGTGTAGAAGTCAAAGTCTATCTCTGCGTCAGGTCGCAAATAGCTTAATCATAAAAATCAGTTTGAACGAGTAGTTGACCTTTATCTTTCTCGCAGGAGCCCTCCATAAGGTTTCTTGTACATTAATCTATCATCTCAAATAAGCTTGCATAGATTTAATTCTAATTCATTTTAAATTATGAAATCCCTCACTTAACACTAAATGCTGTATTTTTATAAAAATAAACCGATCGCAGCAATTTGTAGCATAATTTCGTTAGAAACATCATTTATAATATATTATTTCAAAATATTCTTGCAGCGGTACAGTCTCGTTCTTGTCCTGCACTACCATCTCCAGCCAACGGAGGAAATTCTGGATCATGTAATACAGGAGCAGTTGGACAAAGTTGCAATTTTTATTGTTTTCCTGGATTTAGACTTATTGGACAACCCACTCTCGTATGCGGTAGTGATGGAAGATGGTCAGATGGACCTCCGCAATGCATAGGTAGAGTTGATTATTAATCGTTTAAGGATGGTCCAAACTTTGTTCATTATTATAAAATGTCAAATATAAGTCTTTACTTAAAAGGGAAAGACTTATTAAAACTAAATAACAGCGATCAAATATTGTTTTTAAGCAGTTTAATAAGAAAATTTAAGTAAACCGAGTTTCAAATGTTTTCCCCATTTCTCCTGCGCATTACTCTTCTTTTAATATGAAGTTATTAATTAGAACATTATTTTGTAATAATCTCTTTCCTATATTACTTAGATTTAAATTTTAATGCAAATTAGTATAGTTATTTCCATTAAGAATTAGTTCATATAAAATAAATACGATTTATATTAAACCAGTTATATTTTGTAACATTTATATTAATCCGTTATATAAAAGTCAACATAAACAGCGTAGTCTTTTTAACGAAAAGTTATCAACGTGAGTTACTTAAGATTATATTTCATCATTCAGTCAATTAGAAGAAAGTTCTATTAGCTCAGAAACAGAACATTTAAAAATAAAGGTAAAATATGCCTAAAAAATAAAAATTAATCATAAAATATCTTATAAATACATTTCAACAGTCAATATTTGCATTTGATTACGATGTCATATCAATTTTATTTATTACACTTACTAGAAGATATTAATTGGCTTTGTTTAAGCAAATGGTTAATTCCTTTATTGCAAGTTTGGAAAATTCAATAGGAGCCAATTTCCATATCCATGAATTATATTTTTAAGCGTTTTTCCGATAAATTTTAATACTTATATCAATACATTTAATTTACATTCTATTCGTGTGCCGTTTCTAGGAAGAGGTTGTTTTGCACTAAATCCTCCCCTTAACGGGGCGAATTCTGGATCATGCACAAAGGCCTCTGTTGGCCATACTTGTTCATTTTCTTGCCAAAAGGGATACACTCTTAATGGTCCGCCTGTACTATATTGTCAAAAGGACGGTACATGGTCCTCACCTCCACCTATTTGTACTGGTAAGCTGTTGCACGATAACGCATGTTTAAAAAATTAACAATTCAACTCTCAAAGGTTTAATAGGACTGTATATTAATCGATTAATAATCTAACTAAATTTAATTAACACCCTGCACTGTCAAGAAGTTCACAAACGCGCTGACCATATTAGTCTGCTTCAGCTCGTTACTACGTACTAAGAATTCGATGCCCTTGTAAAAATCAGACCAATCTTTTTTGCTTCTGTGATACAAACCAGGGTTCGTGATTTTTTTGATTTTTTAAAAAAAATTCAAAAAAGTCAGATTTTTTTGATTTAATACAGATTTTTTTTTATTTAAATCAGATTTTTTTGATTTGTATTCAAATGCACTGTAAGAACTTTAATTTATGATTAAAAATTTTTTATAAATGTCAAAATCAAAATTAAATTAATATTAAAACTATATCATAACAATATTTTAGAAGCTCTAACTTACTAAAATAATTTTTCATTATAATGCGTAGCTTTGAATGCATAGCAACCATTTGGAAACAAATGCATGATTGAAATTTAAGGACTAGATGAAAATAAATAAATATTTAATCTATATATTTTTATATTAAAATATTCATTTTTAATTCTATATCAAAATAGATAAGTTAAGCAAAAAAAAATGTTTTAAAAAATCTATGTACTCTTTGGAATTTTTTTTCGCAAAATTTCTTTATAGAAAATCACATAATGTCAAAGATACTGTAAACATATTAAGAGAAAAAAAATACCAGTTAATAACCCCATTGCTTCAAATTGAGTTTGAAAGGGAAGAATGACACTATATCAGGAAAAAAATATCTGAATTCATCAGCCTTTTTCTTTTTTTGGCATATTAGGGTAATTTCTTTTTAATATAACCTCAAGCTTCAGAAATATGCATTTTCCACCAACGAAATATAATGTAAATTTTAATTCCACGCTTCATTCAAAAGGTGGAATTTTAATTAACATTATTTGCATAATTTTTTGAAAAAATTCATGTTTATTAATTACTTTCTATAGTTATGCAAGTCTATATTAAGACAGTATTAAATGTTTACTTTAATCTGTATTTTCAATCTCAAGAATCAAAAGATTTTTAAAAATGTAACTTCAAATTTGCTGGAATTTAACACACACCAAGAAAGAAAGTAATTTCGTTAACTAAAATTAATTAGTGCTGCAATTTATTTAAAATAAATTTTGAAACTAAGAAAAAAAAACAATAAGAGCATCAATAATTTAAAACACTGTTTTTTAACATTCAAAATCAATATATACATTTAAAAAAATTAGTTGATTTAAATCAGCATATGACCACCGAAGCCAACGTCTTCAGCCGACGTTCTCCCTAAAGAATACCCCGTGGTCATATTTTTATTTTTATTGCTACTTTTATTCTTTTTTTTGAAATTTCTGCTCCTTTAAGCGTTTTTTTTTTCAAAGAAGTTTTATCGATTTAGAATTTTTGAATTTAAAATTATATTTTGCTTTCTTTTAGTATTGATTTAAATCAATGATTTTTTTTAAAAAAATCATTTGATTTAAATCAGGATTTAAATCGTGATTTAAATCAAGCTGATTTAAATCAACAAACCCTGATACAAACCACTAAAGTTTTTTGCTTACTTCAGTACTTTTTTTTTACTTTGTACTTCTGTACTTAACTTTGTACTTCTGTACTTTACTTTGTACTTTACTTTGTACTTCTGTACTTTACTTTGTACTTCTGTACTCTACTTTGTACTTCTGTATTTTTACTTTATGTCATCCTACATTTTGTTGAATTGTCCTTATTTTTTTACTTCTATTTGTACGCCGACGAGTACAGCGTGACATTTGCAATTTTTCGAACAAAATTTATTGACGTGTGTGGCATCTTCTTCCAGTGCAAATGATTAATTCTAAAAGTTCAGAATTCTGAAATTCTGAATAATATTACTAAACGCATTAATCATACTAATAGGTTAAAGAAAGCTTTTAAAGAAAAACTATTTATATTTTTAATAACTATTTTTAGTTGTAGTTGGGTTCAAATAACTACAAAGGTAAAATGACTAATTATAGTGCTAAAATTTATAAAGAAATTGGAGCTGGGGATAACGAGATCTGTAACATTTACTACTTTTAATAACACTATAACACAATTTAATTTATTAATTGATATGTTTATTAAATATACTTACTATATGATTTTATGATCTAGTTTAGCTTAGTGGTACACATTATTTCTTAGTCTAAAGTTTTGAAATTGTATTAAAACATAACTTGTGTCTTTAAATAATTATTAATAATAGTTTCTTCGAATGATAAATTCTATAGTAATGACTGTGTTTCATCCATTCAGAAATAATCCATGAATATATTCGACTAAAGTTAGCATAACAAGCTAATTAACCAAAATCAAATTTTAAAGAAGCAGACAGAAGACCTTTTTTGTGTAACTTACTTTTTCTATTTTAGCAATACTTGCACGTTCACTTTAATATGGCTGATTAAATTTCGTTTATTGGGCATAAAAAATGTAGGATAAAAAATTTGAACATAAAAAAAAATCAAATTTTATTATTAACTCTTAAAAGAAAGATAGTAATAGTAATTTCATTTTTAAATATACTTTTTCAATATTTGTTTGCTTTTTTTAATATCATCGTGAAAAGATTAATTTTTACGATTTCAGAAGACATAATTCAGTTATGATTGAACGCCTTATCAATAAACTCTACATGTATGACACACTTTTTTTAAATGTATTCTATTTTCATTGCTTTCTTGTTAAATTGCCATAAGTTTTACAATTTCAAGGCGTATTTACCGTAAAACTAAACTAACTACATCTTGGCAGTTCTTATTTACATTGAAAGTGTCTTTTAATTTTGCAGATTAGCTAAAATTATTGTATTCTAAAAATTTCTTTCTTTTCTTTAGCTGAAAGACCTTAAAAGACGTTAAAAGTTTTATCAATTAAGTTATTTAGCCTCATAAAAATGCAAAAAAAAAGTATTTTTAAAATTATTATTGTAATGACTGGCACTACACAGTTTTGTATATGTAATACTAGAAATCTAACTTAATTTAGAATTAAAATGTACGGGTATTATTAGCTTTAATTTATAAGCTATTTATGCCAAGTGACATGATTTTAGGAGGACATTGCTCCCCCTTAAATCCACCATTAAATGGGGCTGTTTCGGGATCATATACAAAGGCTGTCAATGGCGATAGTTGCTCTTTTTCTTGTAAGAATGGTTATGTTCTTAGAGGCTCCGCCACTATACACTGCCAAAAAGATGGCAAGTGGTCAACTACACCACCAGCGTGCATTGGTAAGATTTTTAAGGTAGCATGCTGTTAAAATCCTCTGGAATGGTGAATGAAAAGGTGGTTTGTGCTAATGCTAACAAATAACTTCTATGAAACATAAGTTAAGTATCACAAGTCTTAACAAAATTTTTATGATGATTATTTATTTTTTTTAAAAATTATTTAACGCTTTTTTTAAAAATATATAGAGAGTGCTCGATTTTCAAAAATTTATAATAAGACAAAAAAACAAAAAAATCTTGCAACAAAATTATGTGACACTGTATATCTATTTTCTCCACGAGTTCCTGGTTTTAGTTCAAAAATATTACAACGGATGTCGCAACCGAAATGAGGGTAACAGAAATAATAATATTAATAAAATCACAGCTCACTTTTTTTTAAATTTAATTTGAGCATCACATTTCAATACTTCCTAAATATCCTCCATCAGTTTCAATAACATCTTGTATTGTTACATGTTGAGATATGATTTTAAAAAAATTTTTATTGCATGATTTTTTATTATTTTTCATTGAGACATGATTTTTAATTATTAACCATGCGCCTAGAGAAGAATCTGATGGATTTTCGCGTTATAAATCATACTGTATGAATATTTAATTCATTTAGAAACTGGATTTATTAGAGAAGTACATTATTACTATTCATTTATTTTTTCTATTTTACTTCTTTTGACATTTGTTACAGTTTAAAAAAAATTTTTAAATGGTGCAATAAATAAGATTTTTTTCTCTAAAAACGTAATATGGCTTAACAAACTTCATGTATTTGTTGTGTTTAACATGGTATTAAAAAATGGTATTAAACATGGTATTAAAAATTTAACATGGTATTAAATTTTTTTTTCCAATGCTAATAAAAACGTCAGTCTAAAAATTCGAAAAAATAACACACTTAACATTGAGATGCATTTAACAAATTATATTTTAATACTAATTTAACACTATTTCTAAAACTATAGACCATTCTCATACAATGTCACAATATTGACTTTGAAATTATGTAGATAATAATAATTTGTGATTTATAGTAAAATGGTAGCTTAAAAGTTCAATTACTTTCAAAAAACTAGAGAAGTGCAAAATAAAAAACCAGAATGCTGTGAACATCATAAAAATTTAATACCCCCGTCTACCTATTAAATCTAAAATTAATCCCGAAATCGATGAATGACCCCTGTTAGAAATACCCTCAACTTGAAGAAAAAAAATACACTAAATTTTAGTATTAATTTAAAGTTAAAAACAAATTACTATGTCTTCCTCAAGTATCGTACATTATTTGTAGAAACATTCATATTTAAAAAAAAAAAAAAATCTGATAATAGCTATTTCTGCAATTAAACAGCATAATGATTTATTTTGGGAAAACTGAAGAACAGCAAGACGTTCACCCCATTGAGAATCTATTCCCTATAACAACTAAAATATCGAAGTAATATATTAAAATGACTTCATACTAGCTTTTGCACATAATGATACCCATGCACTCGTTTCTGTGTCTCCTTTGACGTTTAAGTATATGTGAGTAAATAAATGTAATTTAATTTGTACTTTGCGTGCCACAGAAATACCTTGGGGTACACGTACCATAAATTCACAATCTGTGGCATTAGAATGTTAGGGATGTTAATACTTCACAATACAATTTCAAGACCAACGGCATTGAGGTCAGCGTTCCAAACAAGCTATATTCTACTTCCTAGATGGGCTGGTACCATCGGGACATCATCGGGGTTGAAACCCGGTTCTCTCCAACGATAGCTGAGTGCTTTAGCCACAGTGCACTTCAAATTCTCTTCTCCACATTATTCAATTATTACTTTGAATAATAGTTCAACTAATAGATTGATTTATATGTATCAACTAAAAAATGCATATAATTTTTTAGAATAAAACTACCTTATTTTTGACATTATTTGAGAATGTTCTATATAGTTTTAAGTGCAGAGACAGAAAACAATAAAATAAAACAATTTTTCTAACACTGTGAGTAATTGGTTTTCAGCGAATCCAAGTTGCCCTTCGCTGAATCCACCAACAAATGGAGGTCAATCCGGTAATTGCAGGGGAGCAACGGCAGGACAAAGTTGCTCTTTCTCATGTCAAGCTGGATATATCTTGACTGGTCAGTCTATTATCTATTGCGAAGCTGACGGGAGATGGTCGGCGGTGCCACCCATTTGCTCAAGTATGTTTGTCATTTTTGCTGAAACGATGATGTGCTTCTAACCTTTTCCTTCTCGATTTTGAACAAAACATTTTGTTCGATAATTCATTTGTGTTCAATTCGTGAATATTGTTTAAAATGCGACAAATATTTGAAAGTAAACGGGCATTTTTATGCAATAGTGCGGAAGCCATATTGCAAGTCAATTAAAAGAAGTTTGCAATTAAGATTCATCTCTGTACAGCGGAAGGAAAGGGTTAAGCCATTCTACCATTTGTGGTGTTTATCACCTTGGCATTATACTTATATTCACTTGCAGACGTTTTTGCTTTTAAAGCATCATACTAAATATCACCTCATACTAAGTAAAACTAATATATTCACTCAAGTTCATTGTAAAGTCTGTACTTATCCGTTAGCTGGGTAGCAGACGAAGCTTGAGAAAATCCACCAATTTTCGTCATAAATGCATTAACAATATGTTAATGCATTCGTAATACACCAGCTGGCTATTTATTTGAGCCTGGTTATTTGGCTCTCTATAAAAATAAAATAAAACGTATGCAAGAGCATAATAAAGAGAAATAAATCTTTGAGTCCCATTCATTTGGAAAAACTGAGAGCTTGCTTCTTCGTCTCAAATAATTGACAAATTGCAAGCATATAGCACTTCGTACAAGCCATAGTTGTTTCAACCCCGAGCTCTTTCCAATGTCTTTCATCCGTCATGACTACACTCCAATTTTTAGTTCTTAAAGTTTTTTTAATGTCTTTTTTGGTGTTATTCAAGCAAGTTGTGGGTGTCTTCCACTAGCTTTAGATCCCTAAGGTTTTCTGAATGTCAAAATCTTAGTGGGATTATCCTCTCAGCTCCGTCAAACACAGCCAACTTAATCTATTGCTACGGAGGACTTATGTTATTTGTGGTAGCCATGTACAGCTCAAAGTTGTATCTTGTTTTCCAACGTCCTTCCTCTTGCACTAAGGTATTTCTGAAAATTTGTTTTTCTGAAACAAACTCAGTAAGCTAAACATACATAAGAGTATGCTTTTTTTTTGTTATAAAAGGTGCAGATAGATAATTTTGATTTTTTATCTTTTTGAATTTCCAACCACTTTCCAAATTCCCTTCCACTTTCCGAATTCCCTACCACTTTCCAAATTCCCTACCACTTTCAGAATTCCCTACCACTTTCCCACTCACAAATTCATTAAATAATTTTAGGTGTAACCATCGTTTCTTGCAAGGATTTTTGATTGGTATTAATGCTTAAGTACTTGACAAATAAACTATTCATCGACGACTACTCATTAGAAAAATAGTTAAGTTATGAGCTCGTGAAAACAGTTTGTTCTTTTTTTATTTACGTGTACATAAACAACAGCCATGTTAGAAGTGTAAAGACAATCAATGTTAGATGTGTCGTTGATTAATGACCGAAATTAACTCTCAAGGCTGGTGGACTTAGAATTATTTATATCAGCAGATACAAAAAAGTTAATCATTTGTTGACGACAGATTTTGAAGTTACGTTAGTTAGTACAAAAAATAATTGACTGCAAATACCACAATATCGCTGTCGTTATTTCGTACACATGACGTTTTACCAGCCTAGTAATGTGATAAAAAAAATTCTGTGGCTTAATTATTTTCATTTTTTTAATGTGTTTACAATTAAAAATTTTTTTTTCCATTTGCTTTATAATAAATCAATTACTTAGAATCAATTGCTAATAAATCAATTACTAATAAATCAAACATAGTAAATCAATTACTAATAATTGCTAGATTATTTCTGATAAAATAACAATTGCTTGCTTAAGCTTAAGAAGATTTGTTCTGTATTTTGAGTACTGACAATCGGTACTTCATACTATTTTGAACTACTTAAAATTACTTTAAACTAATCAACTGAAAACTTGCCTATGTCGTAGAATTTTTAAAGTTTGGGGATAAAGTAATCGTTCAATAATCCTCATTTTTAATTCTCACCTTTTAATATTTTCCATTTAAAAAAAAAAAAAAAAAATAGGAGAGACTCCAGCTAGCTGTCCTAGTTTGTACACCCCCTCTAATGGATATATGCTTGGAACTTGTGCACCTGGCAGAGTAGGAGAAACCTGCGTATTTGGCTGTGATGAAAACTACGTACTAAGAGGACAAAGAACTTTGACATGTGAAGCAGGAGGTCGTTGGTCTTCAGCTTTACCTCGTTGTGATAGTAAGAATAATGTTGCATTTTAATGAGATCTATATAACAAAAATAATCTATTACAGATATAGTATAATTCGAAATTCATAGATGGCAGCACTATGTATGATAAATGTTTAAGTTTTTGCAAAGAATGTTTCCTGTTCCTAATATTACCTTTTTTTTCAAAAAAATTCTTAAATTTTTATTATTTCCTTTTTGGTTAGCTTACAGCGGTTTCTTTACGAGTTTATTTACTTAAAACTTTTGCTATCAAAACTGTTTAAACTAAAATCAAATTTACATACTTCATACTTGCTTTGTTTAATAATAATTAGGCAGTTTATTTTGCAGATCTTTTCTTAAGTTTAATAAAATAGGAGATATTTTATTTTCTTAACCTGTTATTGTGATTTTTGAAATTATTATTCCACAGTTTCATTTCTAAACTAATAAAACCTCACTTACCTACAATATGTTAGCTTGCCCTTGGTGGCGACATCTGTAGGACAAGTTTCCACTTACTTCACATAATCCTTATAGTAATGATCCCGAAATTTGAACCAGATTTTTTTGTTCTGCAGTAATAAAATAAAACAATCTATATGTTTTACAAAGAATTTGTAAACTCATTGTATTAAGATATGATGTTTAATAACAATATGTTTTTAATAACAATATTTTTTTAATAATAATACTTAAATATAACGTTTCATAAAAGGTTTAATTTGATTTGATGTTTTTATTTAATTTTTTTTTCATAGGCTAAGCATCATTGGGATAAACATTAATACTTTAACCCACAAATATTTCCCAGAATATTAAGTTCTTCATCATTCCATCCTTAATTTTAATTTCTATTGCTTCAAAATTCTGTTTTTATTTAATATTTTTCATTATAGTTTAAAAAATTCAGAGCATAAATTTCAATCCTTGTTCTCCTCTGAAATCAATGAAAATTCAGATTCTCATGCATATAAACACATATATTAATATTTTAAGGCTTTTTATATTTATTGGATAATTTATTTTATAAATTAAATAAACTTTGTGTGTAAAGGAATTCTTATCACTAATATTAGCTAAAATGATTGCTATTGATTTCTGATTTGAGAACATGCATTGAACATTTAGATTTAAACTAAAAGATCAAATTTTAGAATTGTTTTGCAACACAACTAACAAATTGTACCGCTTTTAGCTATTATGCTGTAATAAGCCTTATAATATTTAGCTTAACTTTTTACTTTTGGTAAATAATTCAGAAAATCCTGAAACTGTTAAAAGTATTTCCTTTGCCAATTTCTTTTATGACTTAGAGAAAGTAAATATTATGTAAATATTATGATTTCTGTGATTATTATGGCTGTAATATTTTGATTACGTAAATATTACGACCACTTGTCACTGACGAAAAAGTCACCTATACACTAGTCATTGGTAAAAAAGTCACTCAACTAAAGTCACTGAATATTTGATTAAAGAACTTTACTGTTACAAACGTCAATCTATTGACAATTTTTATAATATTCTCACTTTTACTGTCTTCATGATAGACAACTAATAGGACCAAAAAATTAAAAAGATCCGTAGCATCTCAAAAAAGTTAGTTTAGTGTATCCTCATAATATTTTACTGGATATTTCAAAAATGATCGACGATTTGAAAATATTAAAGGGGTAATAAAAGAAATGAAAGAAGTTGGGAAAAGTATTCGTTGCTTCATTCTACACAGGAATGCACCTAAGCTTTAAAATAAATTACAAAGTTTGTCAACAGATGGCACTGATAATTGAAAAATATAGAACAATGTTTCTGAAGTCTTAGAACAGAATAAGCAGACGTTAGTTAGGTTGGAATGCTCAGGCATGCAGCAGAAAATATTATTTTGTAGTTTTTATAGTGAAAAAAAAAAAAAGAAAAACTAGAAGAAAATATTGTATTAAAGTTTCTCTGGTCAATTGATGCCTTCTGTAGTTGAATTTTTTTTAACTAATTTTGAAATTTGCTGAAAATAAATTCTTTAGTTTCCTAATCGGAACAGCAAACCATACACTTCCAATTACATCCGCTTTTCCCCAAATTCATTTTCTAATCATGTCAGTATCTTTTGTGTCAACCGATATTTTTTTTTGTTGCGTATCTAGTCCAATTTTTTTTAATTCTTTAAAATGCAAATAAAAAAAGCAGAACCATCTTTTCAAGTATTAATTTTCATACATTTTTCTAGGAATAGGCACCGGAGAGTTGACAGGCACATGTCCAATTCTGAACCCTCCTCCCAATGGAGATTTCACAGAATGTGATAATCGTCCTGGAGGTCGTTGCGTCCTAGTTTGCAATCCAGGATACCTAAGAACTGGCTCCCGAGTTCGAACATGTCTGTCTCAAGGAATTTGGTCTGGATATGCGCCATTATGCACTAGAAGAGTTGGGTACACGACTACTTACACTTATAAAGTCGTACCACTTTGGAGTCTCGTATTCGGATAAAATTGTCTAGTTAGTATCATTCAAGGAATCTATTAATCTATTCAGGAAAAGTAAACTAATTATTTTAATACTTTTCGGACTCGAATCTGGATATTTTATTATAAGGAAATGTAAATTAAATATTTCACATCTTTGGAGTCTCGTATTTAGGATAAGGACATTTTAATAACCTCGAAATATCGCTAATCTATGGGTTGTTAGCTGCAATATTTATTTTAAAAAAAGTTACCTGGTTTCATATCTCTATTAAATGTTTTTGAGTAAATATATTATAATGATGCTGGACAAAAATGTACGTTATGATTTATAAATAATTTTCTTGATTAAATAAATAAATGACATACAAGAATGAATATTTTTAAATTATATTATAAAACATTAAATAATTCTTAAATTTAAACAGAAAAAGTACTGAGTGTTACAACCCATTTGCAGCCTAGGGTATTTTTTAAAAAAAAAAAATTTTTAAATGAATTTCTTGCGTGTTTCAGAGAGTAGAATCAAACTTCGGCCACTTTCTGACTAAATTGAGCATTTAAATTTTTAATCCGGATGACAATGCAAATTTCACTCGTTTCTGAACAACTTTTAGTAAAATTTACTCTCTTCTTATTCCGACCACTTTCCGACAAACTAGAGGGCTCAAAACTCGTTTGGAGATCTGTTCCTGATTACAATATAAGTCTCTTTTCTTTACCACTACAAGCAAAATTTATGTATCAAAACAGAACTCATCGTCAATAGAAATTTGGACCACTTTTCGATGAACTAGAGTATTCAAATCAGATTCAGACTCTTGGCTTCAGGGCAAAGTAAGTTACAATTGTTTCCTAAAATTTTCAAACAAAGTTGATCACCAATCAAAATTTTGTTCACTTTCAGACACAGATTAATAAACACAAAAGCAAGAAGGAAAAAAAATAAAATGAAATAAAAATTGTACATGTTACGTTTTTAAAGCATGCTAAAGGGGAGAAATTGTTTATAGTTTTTTATCAGACTTAAAAAGAAAAACTGAAAATGCTTTACTTTAGTAATAAAGTTTCGTTTCGTTTTAGATCTGAAAACAATTTAATCATTTTCTCAGTTTTGGTATACTTTAACAACATTATTTTTAAAATTTTATATTTGTTTTATTACAAACGTCATGAATAAACAAAATACTAGAAATACCATATTTCCTTGCTGCATGTATCACAACTTTAAAACTAAAAATGGACAATCGTAACTTTATAAAATTTAATTTTCTTCTTCTACTTGAGGTATTAAAAGAAGCGATAAATAAAAAGAAAAGAATTTAAACATAACTGCTACAAAATATTATTTCCATGTTCTAACTTTCTAAATTGTAGTCTCAAAACTTTATTAATCATCGCCTACTTCATTGTCCTCTTCATGTCTGAAGTAAATAATATGAGAGCACAGTTTCATTGAAAACATCTCGCGCGATGCAATTTATAAGGTTCTGTAACAAAAGCACTTTGTTAAAGAAGTTATTTCCAGTTTGTCAACTTCTTAGAAGCGACTTGAGAAAATACTTAATTTTTCTCTATTGAATCTAAGAGAAGATAAGTTCCTTGAGGACAATTACTAATTAATATTCGGTTCAAATGTTAAAGTAAACTTAGAGTTCTAAGACAACCACAATGATTTAATATATTAGAAAATTTATTCATTTTATAGTGTATGGTCTTGACCCTTTGTTGCAGAATTTTTATTAAACATATTTTTCATACTTTTTTCATTATTTTGAATTTATTTTGGTCAAAATAAGTGAAAAATATTATATTCAGCATTTTAATAATTTATGGTTATGATATATAGCATGAAACATGGGTGTCTTTTTCTGCATTAAAGGTAGAATCTTCCAAACATGGCTCACTTGCAAACAATAATTTGTGAACTTTGCATTTATTTGCAATTATTCAGATTTAAGACTGACAGTTATTGATCTCTGAAATTTCTCTTTAATTTACGAAATAAATTATTGATAATTTTTTGAATATGAATTAATTTCTTTTCAAACTGCTTCTTTTTATTTTTTTTTATTTTAGTACAATCATAATTCCGATAATTTGACAATTTTTTTAAAGTAATTATTAGGTGATTTATTAAAATTAAAAACTGCCCAATGTATATTTCTACTTTTAATTAGAGCGAAAGCAAAATATGAAAGTGATACCGGCGTACCATCTGCGTCAAAAGTAAAATAACTAGGATACATTTTCTTGGTTCATTTTAGTATTATTATCAATAGTTTGAAATTTTGGTTCGATTTGATTTTTAAACAATCAACTCTAAAATTCTAAAATTGATTTAAATTTCAATAATCATAAAATATTTTATGTTTCATTACAAGCAGTAGTTTTTTCATAAAAGTGAATATTTTCTTTACACTTATGAACTTTACATTCATTTATACATTTTTGATTTTACAAATTTTATAACATAAATCTATATAAACTTTCTTTAAATTTTTTACACCACGGCCCACATAAAAAATGTATTGTGTACCTCTTGAATCCATAGGAAACAGAACGTTTAAGTCTATAAACTGAACATCGCAGAGTGATAAGTTTTTAAAAAAGATATGCAAGAAGTTCAGAATAACCATAAACTTTGAGAATTCCTGAAAGGAATGAACAAAAAAAAAATAGATACATATGAGAGGTGACAAATTAAGATTTAAAGGATTGAGAACTTGGAGGCGCACTGAAGTGGGCCTGCAGACGTAAGGAAAACAGCACAGATACAAGTTTGTTAGATTTTCGAAGCAATTCTTAGTTTTACGTAATGATAGTACACAGTGATATGCAGATACGTAGCAATTCTGGTAAAATTATCTAAACATATGTTAATGATATTTCTGGTAAAAAAAATAAATATAAGAAAAGAACATAATTCTATATCAATGATAGTATTTAAACCATTCATTTGGGAATTACTTCGTTCATGTGGTAACGTTTTACCGAAAACTATTACTTCTAAATTATTGTTCCTATTATCACACATTTAGAAAAGTATGTAATACTGAGAAGTTAATTAAGCGGAATCATTGGATTTTTATGCCATGCTCTAAGATATCATGACAAACTCTCCAAATTTTACCTCATTTATCAAATTTTATCACATACTATAAAATTATATTTTTTTCGTTAATTTCACCAAAATCATTAACAAAACACTTCTGCAATAATTACAGAACTTTTTGATGTTCCTAGAGAGTCAGAAACACGGTAAATTTTACCATATTCCAGTGGTTTTAACCATACTTTTTTTCTCAGGGTACGTCTTAAACATATTTCTAATACGTAACTGAACCATTAAATTCATTTCAGCCATTTCATTTGTTTGTGAAATATTTTTACATTAAAATAGTTTAGCTTTACATCATTTTGAAAAATACAATCATGTGAGAGAACATTATTTTAATCATTAGCTAAAATTGGTTCTAATTATTCTCATCTTCTTTTTGTCCAAATATTACTTAAGTGGAATGTAATTCAGAGTTGATCAAATTACGAGAGAAAAAAATACCTGCCTACAAAAATATTAATAGAAAACGAACGAAAATACGAAGCTACATTTTAGAACAATTTACAAAACTTGATCTGTTTTCTTTTTTTTTTGCCTCAAAAAGCAATAAATTCGTTAGGTACACTGAACAAACTACGTTACTTTACTATAAATTACATTATAGCTAAACTAAGATACATTTTTTATCGCCAAAATCCCATCTCATAACTCATTCTAGAGTTATTAAGGTCAAAACAGGCAGATAAAATCTAAATCTCGCCAACTTAATGGTACAGTAGCACAAAATTTAAGAAATTTTTTTTATTATTATTTTGCAAACAATATGTTTTTATCACACTGCAACTTTGAAAAAACTTTTGGCAAAGTGACAATTCCGGAACATTAATAAGACATCACATACAAAGCAGAAAAAGATTGCCCTTTTTAAGATAAAAATATTTTTGAATAGAAGGCAAATTTTTCTTTTTGTTAGTGAATCAGGGAGAAAAACTGTTATTTGTTGAGATCATTTAGCATTATATCACATTATTTTTTTTTTCCGCGAAAGTCTGAATTTTTTTTTCCCTCCGTACAAATCACTTTGGATGATGATGACTTTGACTTTTTCTGCGTTGATGATACAACTTGAATCTTGATATTGTACAGGAAAAGTTATGAAGATCAAGATTTTACTTGATTTTTGAGTCATTTACGATTTTTTTATTTTATTTTATTTTGCTAACGCAGTGATCTGTAAAATCGCTTTCGCCATTTTCTTTTTTAAGTGAGGATAAATTTGTAACAAGGTGTCAATTTTAGAGTAGCACCTGCTCAAACTCAAAGAAAATATAGATTTTTTCCTTGGAAATGAAATTTATTCCGAAAATATGAGTGGCAAGTAGTCAGTTTATAAAAAAGCGACCTAAAATTTTATGTTCAGTGCAAAAATATAAGGAAACTGACCTTCTCTAAATAACTTTTGATCTAATGATCGGATCTTTTAGTTCAAGTTCTAGGATTCAATCTTCATGATTCGAGAGGGTGGCCTCAAATATGCTAATTAATTAGTGCAGCTGATATTTTAAGTTACGAAATCAAACACAAAGACGTATTTTCTTTGAGTGAACGCAGTTATTAGTCGTTAGATAATGACCCAGTGAGCAAAAAAAAAATGATAACACATTGAATAACTTTTGTTTTAATGATCGGATTTTCACGTACCAAGTGTCAATTTTACTTGTTTCTGGGGGTGGTATTGAATATGCTAATTATGCAGTGATAACTATTAATTAAGGTATGAAATCAGAAACAAAGACGCACTTTCCCTGAATAAACAAATTTTTTTTTNTTTTTTTTTTTTTTTTTTTTTTTTTTTTTTTTTTTTTACATATTTGGATTTCTACCCCCAAGAATATAGGGAGTAGCCGCAATCTAGGAAATCTGGTCCCTTATAGTTTGGCCTGGAGAGCAATCCGAAGTTTTGTCCCCTTAATGAAATTTGCCTTTTTGCGAGTGAATTGAAAATTTTTTAATACAATTATTAAATTTGTTTATCTATTGATAATTCTATGCAAAATACAACTCTTATAGTAAATATTTATTATTTTATTTAATAATAATCGAAAAAATATTGAATTGTAAGGTATACAATTTTGTACACTATTTTGAAGAATGCAATTTTAAATGGCACTATGCAACATTTGAGGGAAATCGGTCTAAAAGTTCCTGAGAAGAATTCGATTTCTCGATGAAACTCAAGGAAAAGTATAGATTTTTCGTTTGAAACAATTTTAATGCGAAAATATGAGTGTCAAGCAGTCACTTTATGAGAATACTACCTAACATTTTATGTATCTTTTGTTTGAAGCGTATTGTCTCCTCTAATATGGTTTGATTTAAATGAATTTGAATTAAAATGAGTAACTCGAGTAATAAATGATGAAAATATGTATTGGAAGGCTACGGAAATAAAAAGTGATAACTTACTAACTTAAATTTTTAAAAAATTTCATTTTTTGATTGTCAACAAACTGTACACACGGTAGTAGAAATTCTCCAGCTCGGCAGAAGGTTCTGCAGATTACTGCAGCATATGCAGTTTTTCTTCTTCTTCTTTTGTAACTCAGACAAATGGGGGGAAATCTTCTGAGACTCTTATTTAAAATACATCTTAGCTTGTTCCTGATTTAAAAAAAATATCTGTACTACGAGAACACAGCAAAAATTACTGTTATTTGTTTACAGACTTGACTTTATAGGGATTTATTCTATTTTTTAATATTGTATAAAACTCAAATATAAACATCGTAAAGTTTCTACGTATAATTTTTATGGACCTTATATTTTCAAATTTCGCTACATGTGTGTTAAATTAAGGTGAATTTTTATTATAATAATCTCGAGTTAGCTACGTTAAGATTGCAGACTAATTTGCATTTATGCGCAGTTATTAGCGCTGTAGATTCACTTCGAAAATTCTGCTTCCGGGATTATATCTAACAAGTGTATTCATTATTTTCAAGTAATTTTTAATAAGCACTATAGTAATAGATATTTCGAAATAACTTTTACAATTTGAAATATTTTTCATAAAATACATTTTATAAAAGCATCTATCAGTTTATGTTTAAATTTCTAATGTTTAAAAATTTGATTAAAATTTTATTTTCCAGTGTTCTTTTTGACAATATTCATTTTATACCTTACGATTTATTAGTAATACCAGCATTGGCTGAGTTAGTGTTGTTTATTTCGAATTGCGAATGAGAAATTATCTAGTTACTGTGCACGGAGAAAACAATTCTGGTAAAATTACCGTAATGCATGGTAATGATATTTCTAGTAAAAAAAAAGAAAAAAAAAGAACATTATTTTAGTTAATAAAACGAAAGTATGCTGTATTTAAACTATCCATTTGGTAACGTTTTCGTTCATATAGTAACAATTTCCCCAAAAATCTGATTTTCAAAGTTATAGTTGTTATTACCTCACTTTTAGTAAAAAATACATTTTTATCGAGTAAATGGCTTTTATGACCTGCTCTAAGGAATCATAATAAATTATCTAATTTTACCGAATTTGATAAATTTTCTCACGTTGTATAAATCATATTTTATTGTTAATTTTATCAAAATCATTACCAAAAGTTAATTTTACCAATCATTACGTCGGTAAAAACTATCGACCCATAGAACAAGAAACACGGTAACTTTTACCATATTCTGGTAGTTTTGGCCATACTTTTTTTCCCAATGTAGGCATTAATTTATTTTCTTGGAAAAAGCAAAGGAGATTTTTATTCGATTTGTTTTCAAAGAGAATTTATTTAAAATTCTTATCAAAAATGCCAACAAGACAGTATGCGCATGGTCACAGAATAAATTAAAACCAGGAAAAATGCTGACACTATTGAGATCTGACAAATTACAATAGAAGACGACAATAATTATCAAAACAGATTTTTATAGTGTTTGAAATTTGGATGGGTTTCTAATAATCATTTTTAAACTCCTCTCTCGTTCTTCTCGCAATCAAACCTGTCTTTTTATTTATATCTCCCGCTTTCCTCTAACATGATTTGTCAGATTTCAAAAGCAAATTTGTTTATTCCTCAAGTAATATTAGCAACCCTCAATGTACATATTTTTTCACTTTAATTTTTGTTAACGATTTCAAAATGCATATTAATGGCAGGCTTTACGGAGGATCCTTTATCTAAATAATTTTAACTTAAGTATTTAAACTTAAGTTAAAATTATTTATGATATTATTATTAATTATTATTATTAAATAATTTTAAATTTATAATAAGTATTATTTTTAAATAATCTTAAATTATTAATAAATATTATTATTAAATAATCTTAAATTAATAATAAATATTATTATTAAATAATTATAAATTATTAATAAATATTAATATTAAATAATTTTAAATTAATAATAAATAATTATTATTACGTATTATTAATTATTTATTATTAATTTAAGATTATTTACTTATTATTAGTATTTAAATTCAAGTATTTATACTTAATTTTTCTAGGGTGTTGTATTATTAAATTCCAAATATGGCTGACGAAAATAACTATGTGTATTAACAGTGGTGTAGTTTTTTAAACGTTAGTAGAACATAATAAAACAAACACTTTTCATACTACATCTTGAGGTATACGATGCAAAAAGGTGGTTCCCACCAAAAAATTTCATTGGTAAATAGTAATAAAAATAATACAAAACAAAGCATGCGAAAGTATTTCAGATTCTGAAATATGCTTTTTTTGTAGAATTCCATGCTGAAAGATAAAATTTACAGCTGAACTTTTAAAACATTTTCGGGATAATAATTTAATAAATATTTGATTTCAAAATTTAAAAATATTATTCCTCTTTTAGCATAAACAGCCACAAAAATAAATAAAAACACCACATTACTTTTTCTTTTAAATTATTTTTTTTATTTAATGACATGCAGCCTTCATACAGAAATTGTTCCTCTCCTTTAGATTCCATTGTTCTATGGTGTGGAATGTTTATTTTAACCAGTTCTCTCATCCTTTAAATCACTATTAACTAGAAACTTTGAGCTGATAACACCGGGGAACAAATTGTTTTCTGTTTTCTAATGTATCTGATGTTGTTTTAATTTTTTGTTAACTGATCTTGGATATTTTCACTAATTTCAAATCTGCGATAGGTTTCCAAGCTACAGTTTTTTTTAAAACTACATTTTTTGCCTAATTTTTTCATCGAAATGTACAAATATAAAAATGTTATGTATAGCAGTGTGTTATATATAGCAGCAAATATTGCCACAAATTTCTAGTGAACGTAGGGCAAGTCATGAGAACTAAAACTGCATGGGAGCCCATGCCTGGAAATATCGTCGTACGTGACTAGGGGTGCTTCTTCATTGTGCTCTGTAGCTCACTGAGAAACAGTTCATAATAAGTTCTAAAAATATCATTTTTAAAAAAATCTATTGCTTTAGGAGCAAAATTAATTTCAAATTTGAAATTATTACATCCGAATTAGACAAGATAAGTTTTATTAATGCAACAAGAAATTTGTTCCCTAGTGTAATTGATCTTGTTTATAATGGATAATCTACTATATTTAAAAATTTCAACAATCTAAAATAAACTTTCTCTTTTAGCAGATTATTTTAGTTTACGTTCCAAAAGATTCTGATGTGGATATCATCGTCATCAAGCTCTAAGCACAATATTTTCATCAACATATTCCACCGCAGATAAAATTGTGTACAACTGTAAATGTGCTTCTTATTTTAATGGGGATACAACAAATGTATTATATTAAATTATTTATGTTACGTTTTGTATAAAAGTTACATTAAAAGGAAATAAGTTACATGTTTTCGTCATTGTTTTGGTGTGATACACAAATAAACAATATTGTATTGTGCATTTTGTAAGCATTTTTCCCATCTAATCTTTGTTTTTTGCTCTTTTTGTGAAATTTTGGAAGAAATTTCAATCAACGTTTAGATACCAAATGGAAGAATATAATAATATTAATTTATAAAAAAATAATATAAATAAATAATATAAATAAAATTAATATTACAATATCAGAATATAAATTGATATTTGGTAATTACGGGATGCCCAGCGGACTGATTTTGAAATTAAAAAAATGGTTTGTAGCGTCATCTGCTGGTAATTTTTGCAAATAATTTTCAAACCTTTTGCATGATATATTTATAACTTTAGCAATAAGCTATAGTTTGTTTCCTCGATTAAATTTTTTCTCTTGATTTTTAATTTAAAAATCATTTAGTGTCCCACTGGACATCCTGTAAATGGATTTTTTCAGCAACTTTATGTTAGTATAATTATGCTAATCCCATTGTAGTAGTAACATCCAAAAGGTATTTGACGCATTGTGAATTACTTAAAAGTTGTCAGGCTGTTACTTTTTAGATGTTATCAACTGATTAAAACAAATTATACAGCCAGGCTGTGAGAAGATAAGGCATCATATTTGTCATGCGAATATTGATCTATATCGTGCGTTTTGCTAGTGATGATTTGTTGATGCCAAAGCAATGGTTACAGATATTCGAGCCCTATCATTCACCAACTATAATTAGTTAACATCGTGTTAATCCTGCACGCGATAGTTGATTGAAGTCATCTTACACCATCAATGAATTATGATAATGGATTCATTAATAAATTTTAAGCTGATTAAACGTAAACTTAACTCAAGCATTAGTTAATTGTATGCATGATGGTTTAAAGAATTTATACAATAGATAGTGGTTTGTAATTACGGATCCATGTATAAAATTTAACTCTTTCATAGTCTTTAAAATTTTATTTTTCTGTATCCATTAAATTAATTATAATTGACGCAGCATTCCGTTAAACATTTGCTGCCATTAAGATCAAAATGAATTAAATAAAGGGTGTAAAAAATTTCGTTTTTAATAAAGAAATATAACCTTTTATTTGAAAATATTTTGTCAAAATTTTAATAGTTTTCTTTTGGAGTGATTTTGACTGCGTGATTGAAACATTTCTTTGTCGTCTAAAAGCTAAATTTTATGGGTTGCTAAACATTGAAGTAAAAAGATGCGTTTGAACCTGAATATGGTAAAATTTACCTTGTTTCTGGCTCTGTGGGAACAAGCTCAGCAATTTCCATCAATTATTTTAGTAAAACAATAAAACAATAAATAATTAACAATAAAATATCTTTTTATAATGAGTTGCAAAATTCGGTAAATATGATAGAATTTGGTAATTTTATCATAATTCCTTAGAGCATGACGTAAAGACCATTGTTTTAGTTAATTTTTTTCTTTTTTGTATTTTTTACTAAACGTGTGGTAAGAATTATATTTGAGAAAACTGGAATTTCCGTTCAACCGTTAAAATATGAATAGAAAAATTACAATATTTTCAATACCGTATATTTGGTTTTATTAAACAAAATTTCAGTTCATTTATTTATTTATAATCATCTAGATCATCTAGAATGCTTTCTTCGTGAACAAATTAAAATTCAAAAAGAAGGATATCTTTTCTACTGTATTTAACTATTACACTACTTTTTCATAGAAAAATATATTAATTTATTGTTGCAAGCACATATTACATTAATCTATCATATGAGTTTTTACTTTAGTTAATCAGATTCAAATAACACACTGAACTATTATATACAAACATTTGATTATCCATCAGATGTAAATATAAAATAAATGTTCATCTCCCATATACAAATAATTACAGCATGTGATTAGTTGTCGGCACAAAATACTGCCCCTCAAATTTTTTTTACCCTAGTTTTTGGAATTGCGATAATTATGTACCTAGAGTGTTTGCCCTCGTTCATATTAGTTAACGAGATTTTGATTGTAAATTGAAAAATTTCGATTTGCACATACACTGTAAAAAATTCAGTATCAAATTACGATAAACCGGCACTTTGGGTGCATTATCTGTAAAATCGATTTTTATCGTAAATTATTTTACCGTAATTTTTACTGCAATATTTATTTAATTAGAGTGATGCAGTAATTTTACGGTTATTTTTACAGAAAAATTACGGTATATCAGATTTTTGTTCTGTAACATGGTCCGGTAAAAGTGAATTTTGTGGAGAAAAACACCGTCTCCCTGGGAGTCGGTACTTTTTACAGTAATTTGATTCTGAATTTTTCACAGGGCATAACCAATTTGTATTTTATTTTTTTTTAAATTGTGTAGTATTAGCAATAAGTGTTTTAAAGCATTCAACGTAAAATGTTTTTCTTTCTTTTAAGTTTTATAAGTCGAAGCTCCCAGGAAAATTTAAATGCTTAACATCAGTTTTTAGTTTTAGTTATACGTTTTAATTTTCAATTTAATTTTATCTTATTTCAGTTTTTTCTATTAAATAATCAATACCTACTCATAAACATGGGGAAAAAAACTCAGTTTCACAATATGAGTTATGTACGATTTCATATAGTGTCTCAATTCTATATATTTCCAATTTTATTGTATGCTGTAATTTAATTTAAGAAAAGCAGTAAATATAGTTGATTCTCCTTAAGAAACTATGAAAACTCGTATGTTATTTTTACAGCTAAATGTCAAAAGGAATTTCGTTTTTAATCCTTGTAGAATGAAGCTGTTATGTAGGATTATGCCGTGAGTCGAAACAAGATTATATTTAGCGAACCGATAAATTTTTCCTTCATCTAATAACATTTTTTTTCTAATAGTGTTTAAGTTTTCTGTTAGTTGGTAAATAGGATGATTTGAATGATTTATAGATTTTCATCTTTAACCTTTAGCAATAAGTTTCTTTTTTAGAATAAAGTTGGGGGAAATTTAATCGAAGAAGGACATTTTTTAAAATAAATGGAGACAATTTAAACGGTATAATTATAGTTATAGAACGGTATAATAATAGTTATAGTTATAGAACTATAATTTTATGTTTTAAATATTGATAAATTTATTGATTCTGAAATTTTGGAATTTCTTTTCTTTAGAATTAAAATAGATTTCAAATTCTGCTTTTTAAAAATTATGAGTAAGTTGAGTCCTTTTATTTGTTCCATATTTTTTTCTGAAATTGTTTTCACTGATTTTATCGGTTGTTTCTAGATATCTTATATTTTGTAATATAATCAATTATTTCACTTGAAATCATGAATAACTTTTAATTTACTCAAAACGGGAGAGAACTTAATTTTTTTAGTGATTTTTCCACACTTAATCATCATTGAATCAATTTTTATATTGCAACTTTTAAATACACAAATACTTTTATATTTTTATTTCAGATGAAACAGAAGTTTATTTTTTTAAAAAAAGGTTACTAGATTATTAAAGAAGTAATATTTAATGAATAACTTATTTATTTATTACCTTTTAACTTTTATTTTAATAATAATATAAAATACTTTCCTAACCTTTATTAAGGCAGATTTCCTTCGTTTCCAGCTAGCGTCATTTTACAATGGCACGAAATACCAATCTAAAGAAATATTCAAAAACAAAATTCCGTTAATGACCCGATTTCTTAAAGGTAATTTTTTAAAGACTGCCAAAAAAAAGTATCTTAAAAATGAGCAGATACATGCCAAAATAGATCCGAACTATTTAAGAATCTCATGTACTCATTATTGAGCATAGTAGCATGTATTGAAACAGCTCTGATTATCCGTCCTCATTTGTAAATAAACATGGCTGCACGACAGACAGAATTTTCATTCTAAAATTACGGTAGAATAACTGGCATAATCGTAAAGTTTACGGTGAAGAACATTTTCTACTTTTACGGTTTTGTAACCGTTTGCATCTAGAATGGTTTAAACACTGTAAATACAAAAATAAACGGTATTTTAATCGTTTACAACTAGCATGGTTCTATAACCGTAAAAGGGAAAAGAAATCTAACTGGTCGTTGAAAAAAGGCTTTTCGTTAGGTAATGGATATTGGAGTAGAGGATGAATTTTTTTTTTCAAATGAAGTACAAAATAGGATTTAATTAGTTTATCTGGTTTTTTAACCTATCGTTATACTAGACTTCTTTGTGTTCAGCAGCTTTATGGCACTGTCCTATCTTCGTACATCATAGCATTGTATTTTAAAAGTCCAAAGTCACAAATTGGGTAGTGCAGAATGCTGAAAACTCCTCATGTGTTGAAGCGAATGGAGGAAATATTGTGGTGTCAACACTGGAACTCGAACCCCCATTCTGTCGGTTACGAGACTGACAGATTAGCTTTCTAGTCTATAATATGTACCCGTCTGCAAGGAACTAAGTGGTTTCTTTAGGTAGGCTTAGTTAGTGCCATAAAATTCTAGTTATTAGGTGAAGGCAGTTAATAAACTGTTTTTCTTGCAGTTAACAGTTTGAATATCAGCTTATTTATGCTTATTTGACTGTTTTGTTTGAATATGGTAAAATAACAGTTAATTAAATTGTTATTCAACCATTTTTTGCTAGAAATTTCTAACAGTGTAGGAAAGTATTGATTACCGATCTGAAAATATTCTATACTTGCGAAATAAGTTATGAATAAAGACAAGCGAAGTAAAATTGTATCTAATTAGATTTTTTCAAACATTTGATCGTTATATACCAATAAAGTTTTATCATTGTCACATTGATATGTCATTTTGACATGATGCGTCAGTTTGTTATGATGTGTCATTTTTTAGGCAAGTTAATTTTCTGCATTCGAGACGCGTTCGAGATTTATTATTTTTCTTAGGAAATTCAATAAGTTTAATTCAAATTCAATCATATTTGTTTCGGAGCTATTTTGACGCATTTTTTGCTCAGTTTTGATGAGCCCCATATTTTTAATGTTGTCTGTAATGTTTGTGCTCATAAAATGTGCAAACATTAATTAGTATATTGCTGCATTAATTTAGTTTCAAACAATTTAAAAACAGT